ATTTTCGAGGAAAGTGAAAGGTGCGAGCGAATATTTAACGCCACATCGGTTTCAGCCATATCGCGATTTGAACATTTATTGCTGAAATGTAATATGTATTATAGCCAAACAACTAGAATATCACAGACAGTAAAACTAGTGAGTTAAACATTTTGCCCATAGGACAACACAATTCGGTATCGGGTTGAATAGACGCTAACAACTGAACGTCCAGCGGTTGTGACCATAGACTACAGTGGTACATTTAAAGCCCTTCGCATGGGCCCAGCGTTTATCATTCAGTCGCTAGTAAGCAGTAAGACATATTCAGTCACATTAAAAATTGCTGAAATATTCTACTTGATTAAAAACGAAAGCCGAATCTACTTTTGAATGCTCTTGGACTTATGTGTCTTCCAGAGGACAATAATTTTTACATAATTTCTTTTTAACCTTCTCTCGAGGATACAGCCACACCACTATGTGACTATTCATCTCTCTCCAATCATAAAATATTTAGTTATTTACAAATATGTTAACAAATTTCATTTTTAAAGGCCGATTAAATGATGACTTATAATAGTGATCCTCTATAGTTCGATTTGGAAGACATCCTCAGATGGAGTATCAAGAAGACATGCTGATCGCGATCGCTCATCACAAGGATGAGATCTAATAGCATCATGAGTATATCTAGTGCGTATTAATGTTTAATATCGTCGCGATATTTATTCTTCAAATTCGATCGACAACTCAGATGAAAGAAGTTATTGCACGTACTTATATTGACAGCTTCCGGTTTGCAAACAAACACCGTAAGTATAGACAATATATCATCTTTTCAGATTCTCTTTCGTGTCTCTCAGGCCATTAAAATCTTTCTTGCAGACATCCACTTTTATTAGAAATTATTGAATTGTACAATGAACTTGCTACTGGGCCAATGCGACATCGCCTTTTGTTGGTTACCCAGCCACGTTGGCATTTCTGGGAACACAATGGCTGATATTGCTGCTGCAGGCAGCACTCAACAAATTCTGTGACACCACTTTTGCTCCCATACTCTGATTACAAAGCTGCTATAAGATCTTATATCCGTGATCTGATGCAAAAGAAGTGGGACACCTAAGTAGGTATCAATAAATTACATGCAATAAAACCCTATATCGGGTTACACTTACTTGGGTTGTCAGTCCAGATTTGAAGAGGTCACATATGACACGATGTCGATTGGCCACACTAGATATACTCATGAGTACCTATTAAAAGGTGAGGATCTCTCCGCTTTGTATCCCTTGTGATGAACGAATCAATCCGTCAAGCATGTCTTGTTTGACTGTGTTGAGTACTCCATCACAAGGGATATCTATTTCAAATCCCGAACTATGAAGGATCTTTTTACTAATATAAGTCATCATTTAATTATTGCCTTTTAAAAGAATTAAATTTGTTAACAGATTTGTAAATAGCTAAATATTTTATGATTGGAAGTCTGAATTAGTCACATAGATTGTTAGTGGCTGTATCCCCGAGGGGGTTAAAGTACTGTAAAATTATTGTCCTCCTGAGAGGGTACATAAGTCCAAAAAACATTCAAAGTAAATTTCAACTTTCCGCTTTTTAATCGTAGAGAATATTTGTAATTTTAATGTATGGCTAGATATGTCTTACTTGCTAACGGCTGAGGGGATGATATAAAATCCAGCTAGGCCCATGCAGGAAGCAATGTACTGTAAGTCCCCATGGTCCCTAGTATGGTGATCTACCTTCAGTTGTTAGCCATCTATAGCCCATTTTTAGATTGTGTTGTCCCCTATGGTTAAAATGTTTTAGACTCTATTACTAGTTTTACATATATATCTGTGATATTCTAGTTGTTTTACTGCCCTTCGTTGGCAGGTTTTTTATAATATACATATATTACATTTCAATATCGAATGTTCTCGTCACGATATGGCTGAAATATTGCCGATGTGACGTTAAATATTAACTCACTCACTCACTCACTCAGGAAAGTAATAAAATATTTTTAAAATAAACTTTTTAAACTATGCACTGGAAAAAATTATGTCAGTGGTGTAACAAGCATAAAAGTAATTTTTTTCACACTTTAGTTTAGTTTAGTTTCACACTTTAGTTATTGTTTACAAATTATTTCTTTTGTTCAAATTTAAATTACATTGTGTCATTATTTCCACAAAGGGTTATGTAACTTTGGCAAAAATGTCTTGGTGTGAGAAAAATGAAATGGTAACGTATGGTATTTTTTCTGATATAACTTGTATACTTAAGACTGAACATGTGTTATGTATACATTGACATTAAAACTGCTCTCAGTTATAAAATATGAGTGTAACGGTTAAATTCTTCTTTTGAAATAATTAAATATTAGCAAATACCCTAACCCTGATAATATGATTTTATTTAAAAAATTATTGAAATAATATTTTCGTCGCAATGTGCTACTGTTCAAAACTTCGTCATATTTTGAGAATGACCCATAAATGGTACCAAAATTGTTACCTGTTAATGACATTGTATAACACATTTAACATGCATGTAGTTCTCAGTATATTTCACTTGCAATAAGCGATTTGGAAAGGAGTTTCAAACATAATTAAGACATGTCCATTGCATTTATGTTGGTGGTGTATTTGTATATGGCATGTACAGCAGTGCCCTATTTATACGGACACTTGTGTTTTTGTTGAAATTGTACGGAGAAACAAATTACAGGATATCTGAACCACGGACCATATGTAAAAAGACATAAGACGCCTGCACACTCACAGAAGCTGATAAACTGGTGAATGCAGACACAAGCTTCCTTGTGAGACACGGGTGGGGGAGTTGGCGACTAAATGTGATGTGTGTGAAATGTTAGCACCCAGTTAAGAAACAGTTCTGATGTGATGCACGCTTTCGCATTGTTCATGTACCTAACATAAACGTAAGGATTAAAGTGACTACCAAAACAACGGGGACGTGTTAATTTCAGGTAGATAATACTCTGCCGCTTGAAAGAGTGACGACATATTTTAGGTTAACGAACGCAAGGACAATCCGTAAAATGTGTGTGTAAGCATATGTATAAATTTAAACATAATAATTTATTACATATATATACTGAACCGCATAAAAAACGAAAGTTTTTCAAAATGAATAAATATTCGACAGATCATTGTTAAATATTATAGTGTAACTACACATTGGTTACTTTTGTCGTGAAAAAACAGTTTGTTAATGTTCAGGTTCTGTTTGGTGATTTCTCTTGGATATTGTACATCGCCAAAATGCAGCAATTGAATTGGCCGTGGGATGTGGTTCCAGAAGTTCTTCATGAAAATCATGATGCGCATTATGTCACGGACACATAGGGGTATAAAAATGCCCTCAAATCAGTTTGAAATCACTCCCGACAAACGCCCACCATGAATGCCAAGGTTAACGACGCAACAGAGGAAACAAGCCATCGGCCGTCTTAAAGCTGGACAAAGTGTTGCAGATGTTGCCAATGCATTCCATGTGCACATAACGACCATCTACCGTCTTCAGGAACGTTTTGCTGCTACACAGACCACTGCTGACCGCCAACGTCCTGGACGTCCGAGAGTCACAACACCAAGGCAAGATCGACACATTCAACGTTCGCACATCGGGGATCGATTCTTATCTGCCAACGAGACTGCCCGGCAGACTATAGGACATCACAACCGAGCAATAAGCGGAGATACAGTTGGGCACAGACTCAGAGCAGTCCACCTAAAACCGTTCACTATTTCTTCACCAAATTTGGCACATAGATAGATCTGGTGGTGTACTGATGCCTTTTGGTAGTTTTGGAATTCTGAATAAAATATTTTTGTCCTTTCCGTGGCAACAAGTTTGACTTATCCTGAAATTGGTGATAGTGCTCTTTTCCGGAGCTGAACTCTAAAACCGTTCCTTATTTCTTCTCCAAACTTGGCACATACATAGATCTGGTGGTGCACTGGTTCCTTTTTAGTAGTTTTGGAAATCTGAATAAAATATTTTTGGCATTTCCGTGGCAACAAGTTTGACATAGACTGAGATTGGTGATAGTGCTCCTTTCTGGAACAGAACTCTAAAAATCTTTCTATACTCTCCTTCCAAATGTCTATATACACACCTAAATATTTGACATAATCATAACTCGTAGACATAATCATGAAGAGTATTGTGCCATTGCGGGGGATATTGATGACTTTGTCTTCTTGTTATATTTCATTCGTTTATTAAGCGGGCCATTCTTAAGGTGCGTCAAAATTATCAGCTCTTTAAATATTCTATCCCAATTAACACCTTCCCTGGATTTGCAATAATCATAAGAAGTCTGCACAGGGTTTCTAACCTAGAATTTCACCTGTCTAAAAAGTATGAATGTAAAGAAAATCAAAATGGGTGGCCTTGCTAAGGCATAATGTCGTACCAAATATGTCAATGGTATCTGGAAACTTTGCATACACATGTTACGTCTAATAATATTACGTTCACAGCACTCAGTGTGTACCTTGGAAAAAATCTTACCACATAAGGAAATCGGTCGTTCGTGTAAAGTGTACGGTGCTTAATTATACATTTTAATTTTAATTCAATTCTCCAAGTAAAATTTCACATAATTAATACTATATATGTGCCACCTCTTGCACCTTCCCTTACATATACTGAACCGCAAAATAAACGCAAGTCAAAATCCAGATTTTGAAAAACTTTACTTTTGACAGATAATACATGAAAACAGGTACATAATAACAATCAACACTTATTGCATGATGATTGGGACATGTAAGTCAATGCATGGAAACATTGTTGGTTTACTTTGCATTGAAGACAAAATCGAAATTGATCCAACAAGTCAGCAGCGCGTATGTCCACCTCGTACATTCACTACAGCTGTGCACCGCCTGAACACGGAGTGAATCAGACAGTTGACAAAGGCCCTAGGGATTGCCGCACCTGTCCGGATGATGGCTGCCTGGAGTTCTGCTGCAGTTGTCGGACGTGGTCGGACTTCATTCAGTCGTCTCTGCAGCTCGTCCCAAAACTGTTCGATCGGGTTTAAATCGGGACTGACAGCAGGCCATGGCAGTAGTCGGATGTTATGCTGCTGGAAAAATCCCTGAGTGACTCTAGCAGTGTGGGGCCTGGCATTATCTTGCTGGAAAATGTGTTGCTGGTGTCGGACGAAAAATGGCACAACCTGGGGTCGGAGGATCTGGTCGATATAACGTTGGGCAGTGACTCCATTTCCCCGACCTGGCCAAATATTCTGGAAGAATACTGGCCCTAATCTCTGATTCAGGCCAATCGCTGCCCATACCATAACGCTTGGACCTCCCCATGCATCATCTTCCATTACACATTCGTCAGCATAGCGTTCACCTCGTCTTCGCCATATTCGAACTCGGCCGTCAGCATGAGAAATGCAAAACCGACTTTCATCAGAGAACAATACTAGTCTCCACTGTTGTTGACGCTAGTTTCGATGCAACGTAGCCCACTGCAGACGATTCTGACGATGTCTCGGTGTGAGGATAGGACGTCGAGCTGGACGACGACAACGGAGGTGGACTGCTCTGAGTCTGCGCAGAACTGTATCTCCGCTTATTGCTCGGTTGTGATGTCCTATAGTCTGCCGGGCTGTCTCGTTGGCAGATAAGAATCGATCCCCGATGTGCGAACGTTGAATGTGTCGATCTTGCCTTGGTGTTGTGACTCTCGGACGTCCAGGACGTTGGCGGTCAGCAGTGGTCTGTGTAGCAGCAAAACGTTCCTGAAGACGGTAGATTGTCGTTATGTTCACATGGAATGCATTGGCAACATCTGCAACACTGTGTCCAGCTTTAAGACGGCCGATGGCTTGTTCCCTCTGTTGCGTCGTTAACCTTGGCATTCTTGCTGTGTAGGGAGGTCAACAGTCTTGCTCTACAAGGAGCAATTATCAGATGATGACAATATTTATTCCCCAAGTTCTGAAGATATAACAGAGAATATTCCAGAAATTATAAGTTTTACAGACTTACTTGGTTGTTGTTTAACGCCGCACCCAGCAATATATTCCAGCTTTTTTGCGGCGGTCTGTAAATATTCGAGACTGGACCAGACAATCTAGTGATCAACATCATGAGAATCGATCTACGCAATTGGGATGCGAAGACATGTGTCAGCCAAGTCACCGATCCCGTTAGTCATGTCTTGCGACAAGCATGAATTTTTAAACAAATGCTGTACAACTCTTCTCCACTAATATGCTTCCACGGATTATGATCCACGTCGATTTTCTGGCGTCAGAATGTTTCGGTCGGTCTAGGCCGATACACCTCTGTACGTACTGTAAAGGTTTCTGGCTGGAACCTGTGTCGAAAGTACATAGTTTGAATTCATCGCTCTTAATGTGTGGTCGTTACTTGTGGTCGGCGACTAAGGAGACGGTCTATAACTTGATTGTTTTCCTCAAAATGTCGCCAGAAGTGCCAAATGCGGTGTCTATGGACCTTAAATAGACGGGAATCATCACACTGCGAGGTTCCAGACTAAAGCATACCTATAGCTCTGCATCTGCCATTTCCTCGAGGAATGTCGAACGTGTTCCATTAACGATGAAGCGATGTGTTTTCTGTGACTTCTGCACTTCTTAAGACAGCATGAGCGGAAACGATACGTGGTTGGTTTCACAGTGAACATTTCTGGAATACGTCATGTTTCTTGCCAATTTCGTGCAATTCGAGCAACAACGGTATGGTTGTGTTTCTTCGACCATTTTAATTCAGTCTTTCGCTGGTTCAAATATACAAATTCATTCAGTGAAAAGGTTGAACATGAGGTCTAATATTCTGTTTCATACTTCTCGTGTCGTTTGGCCATCCTTTCATACTGACAAACACGGGCCTGGACTATTAGACATATGTGTCACTATTTAGGTCGTATTAACTCGAGTGTATCAACAAATGAGAATTAACGTTTAACCATTCAATATTCCGGAGTATCAGGTTCCTCCTCAGTAATTTTGGCAATTAGAACTCTTTGGAAGCATAAAAAGGGCAACGCTGAATCAATATTACAAATTCTCCCTAAGAACAATAGAGTTTAATGATTAACGTTTCCCTTCGAAGATGTAAGCCAATGACAACCATAACAAATACAAAGATATGCTCTTGGATAATTCTTAAATATTCTTACATTAGAACTAAACTGGCGAACAATTCCATACACTTTTGATGAAATATGTGGAATATGCATCTTAATCGACATTATCGGTAGAGGGGTAGCATAGCGGTCAAAGCTTTCACTCGACCTGTACACCAATCCCAGGACAAAGATATGGTAATAGGAAATCTTGAACCACGTACTTGCTCATGTTTAGAGCTTTGTGCAACATTGCAACGTTGTTTTTCGCTCATTCTAGCTGTTTTCACAACGCAAGAATGATAGAAAAGGCCAGGTTTGACGAAGATGTGTGCAATTGTTGCTTTACTGCCGAGTCAGCTAAGATACATCACGTTCACTATTCAAAGTGAACGCTATGTGTGTTAGTTACTGCCAGATTTTTCAGGACAGGGAATACCTAGCTGTCAACAGTAAACTTACAGAACAGAATCACGCGTCCACCTCTGCTCTTCCTATCTCTTAGAATACAGTTTGCTGCAGCCCGTGATAGGAACTGGTGGGACTTCCTGTCCTATGTCAATGTGAAGACGTACACACCCATTCCATCAATCTTTTGTCAAGTGAGTGTATCCTGTATTGTATAATTATATAAATCACCAATAATGCCACTGTATGATATATACCAACGGATAAATATAACTCGATATGAAGTTGAATACAAATACCTTTACGCTTCAATTTTTGCAATGTTCAATACGATTTCATGTAGGTATCTTCCCGACTTTGAGATGAGTCACAATTTGCACATGCATGTTAATGCGACTGGGAAAAATGGAAAGATGCATCTTCAGAATCGGAGAATTACTGGGTTGAGACCAGTCTGTGGCAAACTGTGCAAGCCTTTAAAGGAACACAACATCTGGGCACTACGCTCTAGGCTGCTTCTTTCTTTGTGACCAAGCTTGGTATCAGGTTGGCCGAAGACAGCAGTAGGTTACAATACAATTCGCAGATGAGTTGAGGTTTGTTGACCTCTGATTGCCGCCCAGTGGTGATCAGCCGTCAAGACGACGTTAATCCACGTCGTCATTTTGGGAAGAATGTTTAATGGTATTCCGTGGGATGAAAAATCATCTTTGTTTATGGAAACTTGAATGACACGCGCTACCGTGATGACATCGATAGAGACCTGGGTCTATATTTTCGAAGCTCTCTTAGCGCTAAGATAGTCGTAGGTTAATGTTAATGTATGGCACTTACGACTATCTTTGTGCTAAGAGAGCTTCGAAATCTAGGCCCAGGATTTGCCCCCCTGAGCAGATGATAATGCCCGCCTCGTGATGTAAACAAATGATATGACAGACTTACACCAACTCAGGTTCACAGCTCTGACTCTTGATGGTGCTCTTTTCCAAAGCATAGCATTTGGGAGAGAGAGAGAGATGTATGGATTTATGAAGCAGCAAGTCTTACTGCTAATCACACATTGAGATTTGTATTGTATTTATGACATATGCACATTAACATTTTACAAAATATTTAAATTCTGCTCTCAAAATCCAAAATATTACCGATGCCATTGTCTACTAAACTCCTCTAATCTCAGCTGATGCCCATGTGTTGCTGCTTCCCTGCAGGTGTTGCTCACTGTATTCATGGTACTACAGGGGACCATCACCAGACTCATCAACTTCCTCGGCTTCACCGGATGGGTCATCTCCTTTGCCTGTGCTCTATGTTATATTGTACTGAGGTTTAAAATAAAGGACGACCCGAAACGAATAAAGGTACTGTACCTGATAATTGGTTCAAATCCCAGTACGACAGGATTATGTTTCTAGGTTTGATGGCACCCTAATGTGTATCGCCAAAGTGGAAAATATCTAAACCTCTATCTCCTCCAACCGCATTCGTTACGCTGTCAAGATGCGACATGTTCGACTATGTAAGTTAGGCTGACAAGTTGCAACATATTCGACTATATAAGTTAGGTTGTCAAGACGCGAAAAGTTCGACTACAGAAGTTACGCTGTCAAGCTGCGACATATTCGACGTTGCAGGCATATGTAAGCCTTATTTTGCCTTCTTCTTTCAGGTGGGGCGGTGGGGTAGCCTAGTGGTTAAGGCGTTCGTTCGTCACGCCGAAGACCTGGGTTCGATTCCCCACATGGGTACAATGTGTTAAGCCCATTTCTGGTTTTCCCCGCCGTGTTATTTCTCGAATATTGCTAAAAGCGGCGTAAAACCAAACTCACTCACTCACTCTTTCAGGTTCCCCTCCTCATCCATATCAGTTTCATGCTGTGTTGTTTGTTCTTCATTGTTGCACCTATTGCACAGAATCCACAGATTGAGGTGCTGTATGCCACCATATTCATTGCTGGGCGTCTCGTTGTCTATTTCCCACACATCCACTTCAACTTAAAACCAAAATGGTTTGGTAAGTATATAACGGTATCTATGTTCTTCACATGGTATGATATTCTTGGAATTGATTGATGCAATGTAATTCATTGGTGTCCATGATATTCAGATGGCAAAACCAATTTTACGCATTCTATCATACCAACACCCACAAGATAATAACAGGAACAAGGTTAATATGCAAAAACCTCTACAGATACAAATACACACTGATGAAATAAATATATCGACACCAAATGGCTTGGGTGCTGGCTATAGCTCCTCATAACAAGAACTATTGAAAAGTTGAAGTCATCCCCATTGCCACAGTCTTGTGAAGACGTTTTGTCACTGAAAATCCTTACGTCTAAATACAACACAGTTGAAACAGTTGTACGGGAATCTTATGCTTCTAGTTCAGGTCGGTAACTTAGTGGAAGGGCTATTTGATCATTATTGACCGATGTGAAATCATCAACATACCTGAACTATATTTCAACGCCATGTGCAAATTCTCTAACTTTGTTTTTTTCAATCCCGGCAGATATTCTGATTGACGTGCATGTTATATATTAAGAAACGGACATGTTAAGAAGCGGACAAGTAAGACCGGAAGTACAATTTGTGCCTGAAAATATTGACTCATCACACTTTTTCACACCCCAAAAATTTTGTTTTCAGGTTTTACGTGCGTCATATAAAGACAACGATAATCGTACTATAAGTACGATTAAGTACATATAATTCATGATGCAGTTCATTATCTTCAAATCTCAAAACATACCCCATTCTTGTCCACAGAAAAGATAGAGATGTATCTTCAACTTCTGATGCAGGTTGCGCCAAGTACGTATGTGGACTCATACTAAAAGATGGACCACAACTTCATATAACCTGATTACGGAGAACGTGTGGACACAAAACAATACTCAGTCCATGTGTGCAAGCGTACTGTTGCTCAAATTTCGTTGCTATCTCGACCTCAAGAGTCACACCAAAGTCCGACGAGGATATCCTATGAGATGTTTGCATACTGCTTAATGCTTAATGATTGGTCGATGAATTTATAAAACTGTTCGTGATACTTTGTGAGCGGATTGAGGTTGTTCGCTTCTTGTTTCGTCTATTGACCCAGTCAAGAACTTTATAATTCTTTGTCAAAAGTGGATATGTTCATTTTCAGTACTTAATAAGGCCACAGGCTTATAGTACATTACAATGCAAAATATACAACCAGACATAGTTTTTATAAACATAATACCTCGCTACTGAAACAGTAAAAACGGCAGCTTTAAATCGCTACAACTGGATAAAAAAACGAAGAGCCAGCAACTTCAATTTTGCGCATGCGCACATGGAAGAGGAAGTCTCGACCAAATGTTGACATTTTCCAGGTTGGACAAAAGTTACATTCCCTTTTTCAAGTGTTTCTGTAGTGTTATTTGGCATTTATCATCATCATACTTGTGTGCACACTTGTTTAGTTTACTTTCCAGATAATTCGTTGTAATATAGAACAAACTTTATGGATAACAACTTCTTTTTATTCTTGAGTGCAAAAGAAGTTGTTATCCATAAAGTTTGTTCTATATTGTACTTCCAAACTTCTAAAATGCCACTCAAGGAAGAGATAATTCGTGTTGCGATTTTTTGCCGCTAGGAGATTTTACAAGAACCGGGAAATATGGCCGTATTAGAACAGAGGTTCGTGGAAAGATATGGCAAGTAACACAAGTGGGAAGAGAATGATTTCCACCCTGCTTCAACACGTTTGTATGCATTTTCCTGGACCCGTGAAGATCTGGGTTAGAACTGGTCTTCATCAACCCATGTTTCTCGTAAGAGGCGACTGACGGGATCGGGTGGTCAGGCTCGCTGGCTTGGTTGACATGTCATCGTATCCCGATTGCTTAGATACTGTTGATCACTGGATTGTGTTGTCGAGATTGGATTATTTAACTACTCCAGCTGGGATATTGCTGAGTGCGGCGTAAAACAACAAACTAACATACCTGCACGTACACCATACGTTATCACCATAACTCAGGTTTCTGAATTGTTATTATCAAAAGCGAGACATTATGTGCCGGATTCTTTTAGGAAATTACCATTACATTTCTTTTCTTTTAAAGACTTGCAGTAATCTCTCGAAGCGGATGTTGTAATAAATCAGATAATATCCATGTTTATTAAACCTGCATCAACCTGTGATTGCCTGAACAAAATAATTTCTTAAACTTTCACGCAAAAGTTCTATTTTTAATGAGCCGAAATGGCAATGAAATCTGTTTCGTCAGATAAACTGCTTATTCTGTTTTGTATTTTTAAGATTGAAGAAATTAAAACAGTTGTTATATGACTGTTAATAACGTTTCATCAGATAATTTAATGTCATCTACGGTTTCCTAAAAGATCAGGTGATCTCTTACTTCAAATTCTTTTTGTACTTGATTTTAATACGTTGTATGGAACATGAAAAACATTAACTATAGTAAAACTCCCTGATTGAATGGTTTTTCTAATCAAGGTATGATTTGCTAGCCTATCAAACATTAGAGCACTAACCTATTGATTTGGACTTACCCACAGATAAAAAGAAATTCAATATATTTCTCGTTAACAAAAGCTGTTCAGAAATATAAAAAGTACACTAACTAAAAGCAATCCCGTCCTTCACTTCAAGCCCAAACTCTTATTGTTCAAAACAAAGGTTGAAACGTTATATTTTCGGCGGGGACACCAGAAATTGTCTTCACACATTGTACCCATGTTGGGAATGCCCGATTCCCCACATGGGTACAATGTGTGAATCCTATTTCTGGTGTCCCCCGCCATGAATATTGCTAACAGCGGCGTAACGCTAAACTCACTCACTCACACTCGCCCAATTGGGAATTGTCACATCATTTTATTAGTGATGTTTCTTGTTTGCTATACGACCATCCCACCGTCATTCGAGGTTTCAGTTAGGATTCGAGTGAATTGAAATGTTAATCGACTGTTTACGAAACTGTGAGAATCATATTGATACTAAATAGTGAACTGAAGACATGTCAATAACCCGAACAGATCCAGGGTGGAATTAGTCTTCAATAACCCGAACAGATCCAGGATGGAATTAGTCTTCAATAACCCGAACAGATCCAGGATGGAATTAGTCTTCAATAACCAGAACAGATCCAGGATGGAATTAGTCTTCAATAACCCGAACAGATCCAGGTTGGAATTAGTCTTCAATAACTCGAACAGATCCAGGATGGAATTAGTCTTCAATAACCAGAACAGATCCAGGTTGGAATTAGTCTTCAATAACTCGAACAGATCCAGGTTGGAATTAGTCTTCAATAACCAGAACAGATCCAGGTTGGAATTAGTCTTCAATAACTCGAACAGATCCAGGATGGAATTAGTCTTCAATAACCAGAACAGATCCAGGTTGGAATTAGTCTTCAATAACCCGAACAGATCCAGGATGGAATTAGTCTTCAATAACCCGAACAGATCCAGGATGGAATTAGTCTTCAATAACCCGAACAGATCCAGGATGGAATTAGTCTTCAATAACCCGAACAGATCCAGGTTGGAATTAGTCTTCAATAACTCGAACAGATCCAGGTTGGAATTAGTCTTCAATAACCAGAACTGATCCAGGATGGAATTAGTCTTCAATAACCAGAACAGATCCAGGATGGAATTAGTCTTCAATAACCCGAACAGATCCAGGATGGAATTAGTCTTCAATAACCCGAACAGATTCAGGTTGGAATTAGTCTTCAATAACCCGAACAGATCCAGGATGGAATTAGTCTTCAATAACTCGAACAGATCCAGGATGGAATTAGTCTTCAATAACACGAACAGATCCAGGATGGAATTAGTCTTCAATAACTCGAACAGATCCAGGATGGAATTAGTCTTCAATAACTCGAACAGATCCAGGATGGAATTAGTCTTCAATAACCCGAACAGATCCAGGATGGAATTAGTCTTCAATAACCCGAACAGATCCAGGATGGAATTAGTCTTCAATAACTCGAACAGATCCAGGATGGAATTAGTCTTCAATAACTCGAACAGATCCAGGATGGAATTAGTCTTCAATAACCCGAACAGATCCAGGATGGAATTAGTCTTCAATAACCCGAACAGATCCAGGTTGGAATTAGTCTTCAATAACCAGAACAGATCCAGGATGGAATTAGTCTTCAATAACCCGAACAGATCCAGGTTGGAATTAGTCTTCAATAACTCGAACAGATCCAGGATGGAATTAGTCTTCAATAACCCGAACAGATCCAGGATGGAATTAGTCTTCAATAACCCGAACAGATCCAGGTTGGAATTAGTCTTCAATAACCCATGCCTACCGTAAGAGGCGACTAACGGGATCGGGTGGTCAGGCTCGCTGACTCGGTTGACACATGTCATCATATGCCAATGGCGTAGATCAGTGTTCATGTTGTTGATTACTCGATTGTCTGGTCCAGACTCAATTATTTACATACGGTCGCCATATAGCTGGAACAGTGCTGAGTTAAACATCAAACAAGCAAACAAATACATGTTAATTGGAAAAACAATTATGTCGTTGTGCATTGAGGACCATCTATTCAACCATTCTTGTTGTTAAAAAATACTGTTTGGCTCAACGCCAATACCCTTTTATCACCTATGCTCACACACATTTCAAGTCCTTGTTAGAGGATAACAGTTACGATCATCGTGAGTGTGTGAGTTGTGTTTTACCCTACTTTTAGCAATATTCCAGCAATATCACGGCGGCTTCACACAATGTACCCATTTGGGGAATCGAACCCGGGCCTTTGGTGTCACGAGCGAATGCATTAACCACTGTACGTAATATAATTTACATGTACAATCTAAAGTGTGCATTTTGCAGCTCACATCTCTATTATGGGGTAAAGCCATCTGTTTGCCAAACATACACGGATTCCTCCAGGCGTGCTTCTGTTAATGTCACCAATGTCATTTTGAACTCGTTCCAGTGCCTATTAGAGTAGTAACCAGTTAATTTCGATTGTAGGTGGATTTTGACGTTGATGTGCACGTCTGCCAGTGACGTTACCAACATTGTCAATGTTACAGGTCATTACAGTGTCTACATGAGTGTCGGAAACGTTCTTGTACTTTCACCTCAAAACATCATACTCCCTACGTGTCTGTGTAGTATAGAACACGCGGGGTCGTTATTCTTCTACCCAAAACATTCGAGATCTACACGTGTTATGCAGGGACAAGCCGAAAAGCGACTCGGACCACTCATACTACTGGAATAAAGTAACTGTGCATTATTTGATGTTATGCCATTTTGTAATGCAAAAGGATAATAATACGATTTGTGGTGTTTTCCTAACATTTCAGCTGACGTTAATGGCTGATTCTGGGGTTGCATTTCATTCCAATCGTGCTGGAAATGGAACAGGTCCGGAGAAACAGCTGGCCAGGGAGTACCGGAATGCTCTGCTGTCTCAGGAGGTCTGTCACAACACGAGCAACATGAAGACGGGCATTATCTTGCTGAAGCGTGAAGTTACGCCTCTGTCCTTGAATGAACGGCTGCAAAAATAAGGCCCAGTGATATCATTCCTGTATCGCAGACCTCTCAGATGGCCATTAACAAAAACACATTGTGTCCGACCATGAGATGTGATTAATCCCCGTACCATAACGCTTCCGTCACCAAACTGTCCACGTTGAACAACGCACGCGTCAGTATACCGTTCAACTCGCCGTCTGTACACCCTCGCCCTGCCATTTGAGTTGTCCAGATGAAATTTCAACTCGTCAGTGAATAAAACACTATCCCAATCTTGTCTCCTGTACCCTATATGCTTCCTGCATCAAGACGTGCCTGTCGGTGACGTTGGAGCAAAATTGGACGTGTTGCAAGCCGTTGGGGCCGGATGTTGTGCTCAGTTGGTTCCGTACAGTCCTGGACCTGATTGGACGTAAGCGAGGAATGGTCCGAGCAGTCAAACTAGCAGTCTGGAATCGATTCTTTAGATGGACCAGCCGAATGTGGTTGTCGTGGGAAGATCGTTAGGGAAAACATTCATTTGGAAACATGAGAGCTATTAAGTCAAAAGAACGCACGTGTGTGTATTTGAATAGCTCACCTTTCATTGCCCTGTCCAAGGTTGTTGTAATGTCAACAAACATTATTTATGTTTTTCACGTTTTTCAATACATTAACATGGTGCCATAACCAACTAAAGCGGGGTTATTTTATCAAAGTACCCAATACGCATTGTAAATGGCTGGCTGTATTTACACACCTAACATTCAGCAATAGAGGGTCTATGAAATACACAATGCCATTTTAGAAAACGGTCAAATGTAACGTATGTAATGGAAGTGGGACAACTGATAGTCTAGACTGCGGACTTTATGTACCCCTCTGATAAGTGTAAATTGGCACGGCTCCAGTTTTGTGGAAGCCGCGGTGGCTGAGCGGTCTAGGCGTCTGACTTTGTGTGCTGGCGATTAGGTGCATGACTCTGAGGGTGTGGGTTCGAATCCCGGATGGGACTCAACTCCCCAAAAGTAATAGAATCTGTACTTTACTAAGAAAGTGTAATCCCAAATATAACATACTTTATTTAGAGGTTCTAGTTTTCTCGGAGGTTATGGAAATGAGCGAATGGTTACTAATGTACCCAACAGTGCGTTGGCATGGCCTTGAGTTGCTGTTCGATAATCTGGTATCCAGAAGACGCCTGCAAGCGACAGAGATGCCTGCAAAGTCTGGTCTGGGTAGCTCTCATGTCGCTTCCTCCTGCAGGAACACCAGGGGCATCTCTACAGGGACATCTTGCGCGCGGACTCTGAACAGTTGGAGAAATATTGTGAACTGTTTCCCCGTTTGGGTTTCGAATAGTTGGAGAAGGATTGTGAGCCGTTTCCTCGTTTTGGTTTTGAATCATAGCTGGAGAAGGATTCTGAACCGTTTTCTTGTTTTTGTTTCGAATAGTTGGAGAAGGATTGTGTACCGTTTTCCTGTTTTGGTTTAGAATTATAGTTGGAGAAGGATTGTGAACCGTTTTCCTGTTTTGGTTTAGAATTATAGTTGGAGAAGGATTGTGAACCGTTTTCCTGTTTTGGTTTTGAATCATAGCTGGAGAAGGATTCTGAACCGTTTTCTTGTTTTTGTTTCGAATATTTGGAGAAGGATTGTGTACCGTTTTCCTGTTTTGGTTTCGAATTATAGTAGGAGAAGGATTGTGAACCGTTTTCCTGTTTGGGTTTCGAATTATAGTTGGAGAAGGATTGTGAACCGTTTTCTTGTGTTGGTTCCGAAAAGTTGGAGAAGGATTGTGTACCGTTTTCCTATTTTGGTTTAGAATTATAGTTGGAGAAGGATTGTGAACCGTTTTCCTGTTTGGGTTTCGAATTATAGTTGGAGAAGGATTGTGAGCCGTTTTCTTGTGTTGGTTTCGAATAGTTGGAGAAGGATTGTGAACCGTTTTCCTGTTTGGGTTTCGAATTATAGTTGGAGAAGGATTGTGAACCGTTTTCCTGTTTTTGTTTTGAATAGTTGGAGAAGGATTGTGTACCGTTTTCCTGTTTTTGTTTCGAATTATAGTAGGAGAAGGATTGTGAACCGTTTTCCTGTTTAGGTTTCGAATTATAGTTGGAGAAGGATTCTGAACCGTTTTCTTGTGTTGGTTTCGAATAGTTGGAGAAGGATTGTGTACCGTTTTCCTGTTTTGGTTTCGAATTATAGTAGGAGAAGGATTGTGAACTGTTTTCCTGTTTGGGTTTCGAATTATAGTAGGAGAAGGATTGTGAACCTTTTTCCTGTTTGGGTTTCGAATTGTAGTTGGAGAAGGATTGTGAGCCGTTTTCTTGTGTTGGTTTCCACTTGTAGTCTTTCCTGGAAGATGAGGACAGACCTTTTAACAAACGCCTATTTTAGTTGGACATTGAATTTGACACAAGTATTTGCTATATCAACATCTAAGTTCATAAGACTTTGCTATATTCGTATTGTGTGTAAAAATACACGATAAATACAAATCCATGCTTGTTGTGAAAGGCGACTAACGGGATCAGGTGGTCAGGCTCACTGACTTGGTTGACACATCGTATCCAAGTAGCGTAGATCGATGTCCCCGCTGTTGATCACTGGATTGTCTGGTCCAGACATGATTTATTTTTACAGACCGCTGCCACATAGCTGGAATATTGCTGAGTGCGACGTTAAACAACAAACAAATAATCATCTCGGTAAGGACACTAATACATCTGGACCCAATACACACTATCCTAAAACAATTTAGATTGACAATGGATACGTTTTCTAGGCATCTCACCTTTGTATGGGAGTCCGAAAACATAAACTTCACACAGGGACAAAGTGTCACCCCGTACTCTTGGGTTTATCTTTTTCCTCAGGCGGACGTATCTTCCAATTACTGGGGACAGGCAGTCCACTTCAATCTTTCGAGAGACGGCTCTTTTCAGGAAAAAACACAACAATCCCGGTCGCGAAATGTCTTTAGGGTTGTGACTCACTACCTCAATCGTTGTGTCATGAATCTGGCCTGTTAACAATCATAAACATGGCTTCTGTGAATGGCATTTTTAGAAGTTGGAGAGTTAGATAAGGCCAAACTTTATGG